TTGATTCACACAGCTAAATTTAAACACCTTTGAAGGAAAGACAAATTCACAAAAACAAAAAAGATTATGAAAGGGAAAAATGTGTGGGAGTTTACGCATTGCTTGAATCTTTCTGTCATCAATACATGGCTTAATCTCAGATTAGATTACATTCTCTTCAGTCAAGTTGAGATGAATAGGCGAGAACAACCTCCCAGCAAGGACATTAGAGCTGATGAGACGCTGGTGGTGACTGAACTGAGTTGTGAAAGGGAGCCGGAAGATTTGGAGAATTTTAAGATTAAACTGACGTGAGTTCCCTTTAGGAGGCACAGCCTGCAAAAAGCCCGGCCAAAGAAAATCACTGTCATCACTGGAGCCCAACAAGAAAACACAATCAAACAAAAAACGAAACAATGGAAAATATTCCATAATGTAAATGATGAGCCTCATGCAGAAGAAAATGGAGAATATAATACAGATTTTCTTAGATAATCCTAATCTGATAGGATTAAAATATGACAAAATGCCTGCCAGGATTTTGTTGTCGGGGAAGAAGAAGACATGTTAAACGTAGTGTGCAAAGTGATATTCCCCATGGATCTGTGCTGTCAATTTAAATTGGCTTCTGGTCTGACTCACTAAGTCCACTGACTCAATTAACCCTCCCTCTGGACTTTTTTTTTCCTTTTTCTTTTTTCTTTTTTTTTCAGGAGGTTGGAGGAAGGAGCTCATGACTCTAGAGAGATGCAGGGATGTAATGCATGATTTCACAAAATTCAGCTTCATCCCCAAAGTTACATGCCCCATGACCCACAGCTCTCAACGCGGTAGCACAAACTAAACACACACATGCACAGATAGAGAAAAAGGCACTGGCTCTTGGTTTAAATTCTCCTTTTCCATCTGCTCCCTCCATCCTTTTCTCTCCTGCATTCTGTGAGTGTATTTTTAGTATGGCTAACCCCATAGGGAAACTCTAGTATTAACATCCCATTGGCAGTCCTACAGAGCCCCATTAAAAAACTCAGAGGATGCTGTGTATTCACGCGATGGAACCTGATCTACCAATCCTTGTTTGTGCACTGATATAGTTTCTATCAGGATGTACCAGCAGCTGTAGAGAATGGGTGCGTGCACATGTTCATATTTGTGGTGGTTGAAGACAGAGGGATGCAGCATGTTAAAGGGAAGCCGAGCGGAACGGTCCTGCTGCTGCTGAGTGTGTGTGTGTGCCGGGAAGCAAAAAACCAGCTGCCTTAGTAATGTGTATTACAAAGAGGAAGAACAGAGGTAAATATTTTCAGCTTTTTGAGCCAACACAACAAAAGCAATTAAAATGAACAAATAAACAAGTCCGACTGTTGCTCTCATGTTTTGTAAATAATGATCTATATCCTATGTTGACTGAAAGACCTCCTGTGTCTTCTAATGTGCCCCACAAAGCAGCCATCCATCACAGAGATGGGGTTTTTATGGCGGACAGCTGTTTGGAGCTATTCAGCTGTGTCCGTTTGAAAGCCTCATTCAATTAAACTTTCATACAATGGGAGCTAAAAACTGTTATAAATAGCTTGATGAGAACAGAACGGAGAGTGTTTACAGCAGTAACATTTTCAGACACTTAAGGACACTATGTGAGAAAAATAAATAGAGAATCAAGAGGCTTTGCTGGAGTTATGGGGTTATCATTTATACAAGCTAACTATTCACCCCTGTACTCGCACTAATTAGAGCGGAGGGAAATGCTGAGGTCTGCAATTACCGCAGTGTCCACAGTCAACCAGCGTAAGGCCATTCACCCCTCGCCTATTGTCAGAACCTTGCCAACTATGTCATTTCTGCAAACCATAAAATCAAATTACTCTTTTGGAGACTTCTAAACTTCAAACTGAAAGGATCTTTGCTGAATTAATCAGATGCTTTACGTAATATATTAGAAATTTCAATTAGAGGCTCATTATTCCGAAACACTGTCTGACCTAATCCAGCAGCCTCGTTAACATGCTCTCGTTAGCATTACTTTGGGTTTATTGAGTTTTCTGCTCCTGCCTGAGCGAAGGCTTCCCTAATTTTACTGCACATCTTACAGGACTTTCTCAGTGCATCCACTGTAGCTGCACTTATAGTTGCGCTTGTCTTTTGCTATAGTCCTTTTTTTTGTAGCTTTATTTTTTAATTCCCATTGAGGTATTTTGATCTGACATATTTCTCAGGGTTCCTTAGAAATGTTTCAAATTAAAATGTGCAGGTCCTGTTGACCAGGGTATCTTCCTTTTGAAGACTGCTACAGATATAACTGCTGAGACCATTCCAAATGTTTTTGTCTCCAACTAAATAAAATCCATAACATTTTGATTATTGCATAAGTTTTGCTTTTATAAAAAGGTGCACGTTCCTACAAATGAACAATAACTAGACCTTTGAAAATAATCTAAGCTCAAAGTTGAAACTTTAGGGTTGGATTACAATTACTGTTATAAAAAGTGATGTTATTGGTGGCTTGGACAGAGCACCGTATGCGTTCCCTGATTAGTAGATCTTGTGAAAGTATCTGATCCTGTTGTCACCAAATTACTTCTGCGTGATTACAGGAATATTGAGTTTTTTTCATGGCTCTGAAACAATTTGAACAATTATTTGACAAGTAGGCTCGCGTTTGTAATTTTTTTTTCTCCCTCTCTCCTTTTCTAAAGCAATTAAATAAAGATCATTTAGTAAAAATAAATTAACAGATTATATAACCTTCACATCTGCTGTCACTGTAGCAGAGTACATATTTAGAATGCAATTCTGTTTTTAAAAGCTTGAACAGTGTAAAGTTGGCTTTAAATGCTAAGAAAACTACATTAACGGACACTTCAAAAAAATTACATTTGAAAACATTTTTTTCAATTTAAAAAATAAAAGATGTATTACATCACATGCTAATTTCCCACCAAAGAGCAAGTTGAAGCCACCCTTCTGTTGTTACATACCTCAGCTTTAAGAGCCCTCGGTTCTGTGTATCATGTTTGTTTAATATTAATTTCAAATTTTAACTCTCTAACTCATTAATGGTATGTATCTACATCTGTAGAACCTAGATCCTGGATGTTTTTATTCATAAAGCTCTGCTGAGTAAACTCCCAGTATACCTAAGTAACCTACTTTCTGCTCCAGTAGCTACAACTTGCGTGCCTCCAAATGACTGCTTTTGAATTTTCCGAGGACTTTTAAATATTTATCATTTTCCTACTAATGTTGTTCAAATAATTCACAACGAGATGCTGAACTCTAAGCATACATATCCATTATATGAATGTGGTAACAAACAAAATATCATTTCTTTTTATGGAAGGTTATTTATTAATTTTTATTTTGCTTGTTTATAGTATTTACATTACTCAAATTAAAGGCTGTATTTTTCTACTGTGGGAAGTTTCTAATATGATAAAATACTACTGCAATAAATTAATATATTAGGTCTGTTACTGGTTCCAATAATCTTTCTTTTTTTTTTAAATAAACCTGCATTTTACAGAGGTACATTATATATATTTGTTAACTGCGTGATTTGTGATGGCATTTGCTTTTGATCTGTCTCTAGTTTCAGCCACAAAGGATGAAAAAATCACTAAAACAAAACAGAGTCTTTAACTGGGAGGGATCAGTTTTGTCTAGATGGCATTTTACTACGGCTTGTCAATCTAAATCTCTGATCACTTTCCTTTCCTCAACTGGATTGGATTGATTTCAAGAATGAAAACAAGACACCTTGTGTAATGGAATGGTTGAAAATTTCATTAAAGCAATGTAAATAATATGGTGAGGCCTGTTCAAAGAACATTACATCAGCAAATGAGATAATAAGCTTTGGTGGGAGATGTACTGTACCTCCAAAGGAGTTTAAAAATCTTTAAAAATCAGTTCCGTTAAATCAGTACAGTTAAACTTTTTAATAGTAAACTAAAAAAAATTATGTTTTTCCCTTTTAATGAAAAAAGTGTTAAAGCTTTTGAGTTTTCAGTTTTTTATTAACTTAAACATAATTTAAAAAGGAAACACAATAAATGAATATTCATCCAATGAAATGTAACAAAAAATAACAAATATTAATAAACCACCAAAATCGGAAACAGCCTCTTTAGTCTTGTGAATCTATGAACTCCAAAAATAACCTTGAACATGCAACTTAAGAGTTCAGGAGAGGACAATTTGGGAAGATACATTTTCTTCCGATTGCTTATAAGGTCTCCTTGTGCTTCTCTGTTCTCACAAAGATCTAAAAAAGAGATTGTGAATGAATAAAAAATAACAAGGAAAGAAACAGCGCTGTTGTTTTTCCAGCATAAATAAGCACCTTTATACTGCCTAGAAAACAAAACATCATCTATTCCATTGGAGATATTTTTAACTGAATTGCAAGAAAGGGTAATAAATGAGGCACTGAGTATTGGACAAGTCCAGTCAGAGCATCACAGATGTAGTGGAAGGGGAGAAGATAGAAGTTTGATTTAAGACATGTTCAGAGACGCCATGGGAGCTATAGACAGAATGGCAGTGCCTCTCACCTTGGCTGCTCATGGGACACTGCAGGTCATGATATAAGGAGGAGTGTGATTTATCTGGGCCGCAGAAACCAAGAGTACAGTAGCCATGCAGCCAGAGGGAGGAGAGTGTTATTATAGACAGATATGAAGGCTGGCATGCAATGCTGCAGAAAGTGCCTCATAGAGACTAGAGGCTGATTGTTAAGCAAGGGGGTCACAGGATACATGTTGGATTACATCATATGTAGAATGAATGAATGAATGAATGAAACAAGGTGAGCGGGTTTGACCTCATCTGTTCATGTTTAATTAACAATCCTGTTGATAAAGATCAGAAAAAGTCTGACTTAATAAACACCCCAAAATGAAGTAGTGTAGTTTCTGTCTGACAGGGAATTTACAGATTTATTCTACCATTTATCCCCTTCCCCCTTTTTTGTTTTATGTTTGACCCTATATATAATTGTTTATAATGACTTTGCCCCTCACCTGCATTCCTGAGCTTTTTGTTCCTATACACGGACAGGATAACCAGCACGTTCCCGAGGATGTCCACCACGATGGTGAAGATCAGCACGCTGGCCAGCGCAGTGGACACCCCGCCGGAGGAAGCGCTGAGCTCGCAGCCGCTCTCATTCCGCGGGCAGTCCGAAGCGTTCACATCTTTCATCTCCAAATCCATCTCCCCTCACGATGCAACGGTCATCATGTACAACGCTCCCTCAGTGCTCAGTGTCAAAAATGAAGCTTAAAAAAATATATAAAAAACTAAATATCTTCACAGGAGAGGTGATGGAACTTTATTGGACACGAAGACGCGCTCATCCATCCGAGAATTAGAGGGACGAGGCGAGCCATGGCACAGGCAATTGGACACTGATGCACTTTACGCGCAGCTAGGAAGTAAAGTGTTGAAGTTGCAAGGTGTTGGAGTTGCTGAAGGTTCTGGTTTTAACGGCGCTCCTCACCGGTCACTGCTGTCGCTCCATTCGGAGAGCGCGTCCGTTTGGGTATGAGCGCTCTGCTGCGCGTAATGGGCATGCTACACTCCAGTACTAACTCTTTCTCGCCTGGTATTTTAATTAAACATTCATTAAATTATTGCATTTTTACTGCTCAGACAGATCAAAAGACCCAACCGTGATGGAATTACAAACTGATACTCTGTGCACCCTGACCCTATCCATTGCGCCAATGCTCTTCGGGGATCTGAATGAAAGTGGAGCTACCCGATCAAGGCGAAGATAAAAATGCTATTTTGAGCTGAGTGCGTTGAAATTGTTACAATTTAGGACTTGCTTTGGTTAGAAAGTGTTACTCATTAAAGAAGGCGCCATGTCCTAGGAAATGGCGCCTTCATGTGTCCAGCGAAGACTCTTGCAGTTAAACTGATTTCTTTACAATATAGTCTCAGACTGGGTTAAAGAAAAAAGGGTCGTGTTAAGTTTAGTGCATTTTTTTAAAAGAATGAAAATTAATACCTCATATATTTATTTAAAGTTGCAATGATAGTACCACCTACAAAGATGTCAGTAACATTTGACCTTTTTATATATTTTTAATGTTATTGTGCCTTACAGCTGGAGAGCCCCTAGTAACCCTGACACATAAGCAGCAGTGGATGGATGAAATTTAACATAAAGTAGTTCATTATTTTAATATTCAAGAAAAATTTAAGCTTTCATGACATGACATATCTCTGAATGTCACAGTCTTGGTTCTGTTATGTTTTCTTTTGAGTATTCAGTTTTACTTTGCTCCATTTTCTAGTTTTATTGGTTTAATTCTTATTTTTCTGGTTATATTTCAGTTCTTAGGTGTTTATTTGTTGCCCTCTGTTGCCCTCTTTCGTTCGTTTTATTCCCTGGCTCCTTTCTAGACTCCTCTCTTCACACCTGCTCCCAATCAGCTCGTTAGTCCTCTCTTTGTTCAGTCTCCAATTAATACTCTCCTAGTGCAGTTACTCAGTGCTGGTTCCTCGTCTAACTCCGTCTTCCATCGTCATACCTCGTGTATTTCCTGGTCTTACCCTGGCTCCTCGGGATTGTTTTCCCCTGATGTCACCATGGTTCTGGTTTGTTTAACTTTTCTCATGTTGGATTTTAGGATTCCTGCCTCAGTTGTTTGTGAACCACTCATTAAATCTACAAAAAACTCACCTCTGCCTCCCTGCCTCTGCAGTTGGGTCCTCAAACATCAAACAAACCCTGAAACTGAAAAGCTTTACAGGCAATTTTTTTCCACACCAGTTAGAATCTAGGTTCCAAGGGTCAGAGTATGACTTTAGTTTTGCACATAAAGAAACTCACATTTCAGTCATTCCTCTTAGTAATACAGTTCAAGCCTATCCAACTAGACAAGGAGCAGGTGTCTATGAAAGCTAAAGCTCTTACTTGGATGTAGTTCTGAATCTTCACTGCATGCTTTGAGCTAATCCCCTTTGTTGATGCCGGATAAACCTCTACTCCAGTCTTAAGTCATTTTTAGCCTCAAACATGTATTTTTTCCAGGCCTTATCTTCCAGTTGTGACCAGCTTCTCTGTTTCAACAGCATGATGTTCCCTCCTCAATTTCACTTACTGATGTATTGCATGCAGTCAAAACAGCAGTCTAAAAAGTTAAGTTTGGGCTTTCTATCATATCTTTGCATTATAATCACAAGCAAAACTGCTAACAGGTTTATTGTTTAGACTGTACTATTGCCTCTATATAAAGTCAGACGTGCAGTACACAAGTAAAAGTTTTCCTTAAATATTAAAGTTTGCTGCAAACAAAAACAAAGCAAGCATTTTTAGATTTTTATTTCTTAGAAAAATAATAGATCATTGTACTTTTGTTCCTTTTCACAGTTACTCACAACTTTCTGTGATTTTTTTTGTTTGTTGACGGTGATTTTAACATAATAAAATTAGAAAAAGTGTAAATGGTATGAACACTTTTTCAAGACAACATGTTCTGCATCTTGTTTTGTAGAAACTCTTTTTTCAGACTTTTGGTTGTTATAAATTGTTGTTATATGAATTTTGTCCTAAGCTATTCTGTGACAGTAACACAAAAACATTGAAGCTACTACATATGTTAATAATACCTTAAAAACCATGCATGTATTTACATTTTTGTATTATTTAAGAATTTTAAGTGATAAGCTAGATAGCATTAATTCTGAAAAGGTTACATTTGGGAGGAAGAAAATAGCGTTATTTAAACCTGGAATAACAGTACAAAGTAAACACAGCCTGACTTAAGCAGAATCGATTAATGAACAACAGCAACAGCCTAAGAAAATCAGGTTATTATATATAGCAGGATTTCATATAATTTTGTGAACATAGACTTAGTATTCTTCTCAGATAGTTTGTGTGCTTTAAAACCTCTGGGTTCAAAAAAAACAATTTGTTTTATTTTGTAACAAATCCAACCCTGAGTTAATTTAACACTCACTGAATTGCAGGAACATGTCTAGCAAGAAATCCCTTATAATGTGTTTATGCATAATATAATACATTAAAATACATCATAAAGCTACAAAACATTTAGAATTTGGAGGAAGATATAAGTATTTATGTTAGGTTTAATCATGCCAAAAACCAGACTGATGGAAGATAAAGACAACTTAATTTTATCTAATATGGGCTCTGTCTAGGGATGTAGCTTTTTACTTTGTATAAAGATGTCACCATGTTATAAAGACGTTACCACCAACTCTTTGGTAATTGAACTGAGGTGGCACTATGCTGCTATCTAGCAGGTAGAAGGGCAAAATTGTGTTGAAGTGACCAAACTGAATAAGTTTCTAGAACTATTCCATGTCGTTTTCAAAACAATAAGGCCTGTAGAACATACCATTTAAATGAGGAAGATGTGAGCTGACCTTCAAGTGTAAATAATGTGGCTTTTTATTAGCAAAAATCAAGAATCTTTCATTTTCATAAATAAAAATTCTGTCAATGTCTCATGGCAATCGCATTTAAGATGAAAACATCCAACATGAGTTTCTTAAAAATATATAGGGGACGGTGCACCGCATGAAAGATGCCACTATGCAATCATGTCTTTGATTACAGTAGCTGAAAAGGGACAAACCTCTTAGCTTATGCAATTTTACTAAGGAGGTCCACAAAACAGGCAAAGATCACTGCAAATCATTCTGATAGCTGTTTTCCTGTGAAACGGAAGACCATCCCTACTCTTTGCACAGTGAGATGGTGGAGAAAGTTTGCAAAAAAAAAAAAGAAAGAAAGAAAGAAGTAATACCTGGAGAAAATTAGTCTACATTTGCATAGTTTTTATCAAGTGGAGACAATTCAGAGCCACATGGAGCCAATGTCTTAAAATGTTTTAGCATCATGAGGCTAAAAGCTAGCATTCACATTCTTGCTTCCACTTTTTAGATCCACCCAAATGCTGTGATAATTTGTAAATCCCTTTATTGAGCCACAATGGGGAAATTCACTCTCTGCATTTAACCCATCCCCTTGGGGAGCAGTGGGCTGCCATTGTGTGGCCCCCGGGGAGCAGTGTGGGGTTAAGGGTTTTGCTCAGGAACCCAGAGTAGAGGCTGTGGGCATTGAACTAGGTACCTTCTCATTTCTCTTTCATGCCTGCTGAAAGTTATTCAGTGCAGGAAAATAAGCTGAAGCTTGATCAATTCTTTAATGGACTAGATACTGCTGTTATTAAGATTCATCAGTTTTTGCCAGCGCCTTGTGGTTGTTTTCTTCTTTTCTTAGTTTCTGTGTTCTAGTTAGGTAGTGTTAAACAGGGTAATTACCTGTAACAGGGAAATGACTGTTTGATAAACATCATCTGATGATCTGCTGTCTCTAAAAGTTTGTTTATTCTTTCTTGTTAATAGTTTAATAATATAGTATAATGATTTTGGTGGTTTTGTTTAATGATTAATAACTGCACATTGCAGTTATAAATTATAATTGTTAACATTTACTGGCACCTCAACCAACCCTAGGTCCACAACATTTTTGAACAACCGCATTAATGCTAAATTAAGTAAATGATTGCAATTTGTTTGGCATACTGTACCACCAGATGGAAGTGAACCTTATTTTATGGGGCTTTAAAAACAGACCTTCAAGATAATAGCCATGTTCTCAAACACAGACTCGATTATAGTACCTAAATGGGTGAGGACACTTAAGCCACGGCGGAAATTAGTTCGGAAATAGTCCTGGGAGTAAGAAAGGGGCTACGAACAGGAAGCAGTGTGCCTTCTTAAAGCTACAGTGTGTAATTTTCAGCGACATCTAACGTCCAGACTGCAGACCGCAGCAACGTGAACATCTCCCCCCCACCGCTTCTCCCCACCAACAGTACGGCGAGCGTTACGGGACAAAATGTCTTCCACGACGTCCGCATCACCTACCTTCTCAAGTGATGAGGTTTGTTTACATAGATAATTTTACATATAGTATTTCATTAGTCTGTGTAGGGTATAGATTTCAGTACCGTCTCAGTTCATCTCTCTCAACTTGCCGTAGTTACTTTCGAGCGTAATGGGCGATCTCGCAATCGATAGTTTGTTGGCTCTGCGCTGCCGTAGCGCAAAGATGTCTGCCTCCATGGCTGCGAGACCTGCTCCTACAGTATGTAATTATAAATAACGAATTCAAAGGAAACGCAAATACATTTCTGACTGTATATCCCTGTAATTATTACACACTGTGGCTTTAAGTCATTGCAGTAAACATAGGGACCTCCTTACATCCCTAACCAATGCTGGAATCGATGGTTGCCCACAATCCTTTGCGTGACACACAGTGGAGGCACAGCCCACCTCATGGAGTTAAAAGAATTAAAGGATTTAATGTCATGTATTTTTTGTGACCCGTGTTCTCACCTTCAGATGTTTTGGGTTTAAAAACTGGGCTTCATCCATTCACTACATTTATGCAGCTTTTGTTTAATGTTGTTATTTTCCTGAAGGCTGTTGTCCCAGTTTGACTAGCATCAGTCATATGCTTGTCCGCTGCATAATGACGTCCATAGGGCTGAAGGCTGTCTGGATTGAGCACAGCATTTAAGAGTTCCTATCCTACCCTACCCTGGGGAGAGTTCTTATTGTTGACCCTGTGAATGGTGAAGTGATAGGAGCTAGCAACAGGAGGTAGCACCTATAATTTGAGGTATTTGGATCAGCCCCTAGTCAGAATGGCCTTGT